CAGTGGGTGGAGTGGAACCTGGGGGGCTTTGATAGGCTGCAGAAGTACCCTATTAACCGAGTTACATCCCCAGCCCCTGCAGGAAGCACTCTTTAGGTAAAAAGACACAGATGGGTCATGAAAAGACAGAGTTTGAAATGAAGCAAAGGAAGATCTGTGCAAACGCTGGTCAAAGGGCAGCTATAGTGATTGTGCATCTCAGGTGAGATTCCAGAGCAGGAAACAGCAAGCAATGAGTTAGCTCACGTGTTTTCATAACCGCCGCGGGATGGTAGAGGAGGAGAGATGAAGTATGGAAAGTTGCCTACATCATAACCAGAAGTCGGTGAACAAGGACAAATCGATTTGAAAAAAAAAATGGATTCCGTTCTGCACAGAAGTTTGGAGGAGCTTGGGGCGCTGGATTAACGTCCATCCTCGTAGTTCCCTGTGGTTTTCCTGATTCTATGTCTGCTTTGCATTGTCAACGTAGGAAAAACCGAACTGCAAAAGTAAATGTAAGCACAGGAGATTCCTAGCTGTCAAAACCAAACACCGTCAATAGTCAATCCAGACTATGTCCAGATGTTAGGAGAAGGTAGTTTAGCTGTCTTGCCTGCAGCAGGCAAGGCTGTGAGGCATTTTCTTGATTAATGATTGATGTGGGAGTTTGTGTGTGTGTGTTTGTGTGTGTGTGTGTGTGTGTGTGTGTGTGTGTGTGTCTGTCTGTCTGTCTGTCTGTCTGTCTGTCTGTGTCTGTCTGTCTGTCTAGTAAACAGACTTTTTCCATGGTCTCAGCTCTAATTCCTTCCTCCAGTTCTTACCCCGACTTTCCTTAGTGGCAGCGGTGATCTGTAAACTGAGAGTTTTAAGATGAAATAAACTCTTTCCTCCCCTAAGGTGGTTTTATTCCAGCAACAGGAAGCACCAGGGCAGTGTGTACAGGGGAACTGGAGAGCAGATGGAAGAGACACACAGTAGTGATCTGGAAGGGCTGAAGACAGGATGAAGGGCAACTTCTACATGGACCCATTTCATTATAAGTCTTTGGTACGCTACATAATTATTATTCTAGTTTTTGAAATAAGCTTTGCAAGCGTAAGCAATATTTTTAAGTAGAAATTTCAAATTCTTTTTCTTCTTTTCTGGGCATTCACTGCTTCTAGAATTTAAGCCAAACCTTAAACTAGCTTTCAGTTGATGCCGTTAAGATTCAATTTATAAAATAAAAAAAAGAAAACATTAGAAGACACAGGTTGGAAGTTAATATGGTGGAACCTATGAGCCCCCAGGGACAAGAACACTAACTGGAAAAACTATGAAGGGAGTGTTCTTGATCTCCAGGGCCCCCAAAGACAATCTGATTATTTTTAGAAAAAAAAATGAACATAAATGACATTTTAAGGACTGAATTACACACATGACCTTAGCTACTTCCAATTTATGTTGGGTGCCTTAATATAGATTAGAACAGCACTTACTTATTTTCCTGATGATAGTTTAGTGAAAAGGAACTTGCAAAGTTTAGCTTTCTCTTGCCATGCTCAAATAGCAGAAACACTCTTGTCCTCAAATATAAGCCTATCCATAGCCACAGATTGTAGAGAAGTTTTTCCTGGAGGTCGAGATTGAACTGAAGAGCCTTGATGTACAAGGCAAACATTCTAACACTTAGCTGCATCCTCAACCTATTAGCCAATAGATCCTTGGTTTTCTAGACCAGCACACTCAATTAATCTGGACTATATCTCATTGTTAAAGTGAGTTGTAAAATAATTATTTCAAGGAGGTCTGCAACTTGTTTTCATTCCTAGAAATGCCAGTACAGAATAAAATTGATTTATTTCAATATAATAATATAATAACATATAATATGTGATATATATTGTGTAACATAATAATATAATGCCACAAACCTTTTTTTCTATAGATGCCTGGTGTTGAAAGTCCACATGCAGGGAGGTAGGGCTTAGACACCTTGGCTGATTTGCTTCTTCAAGGAGTGGCATCCAGAATATCCCGACTCTACCCTGGCTTTCTCTAACAGAACTACTGCTCAGTATGACTCCATTTATGCAAGTTTATAGGATCCTAATCTCTGATATTGGTGGTAAGAGATGAAATTAAATTTCTCCCTACATAACACTTAGGTGACGCCAAGTATTTAAGTTGCCAGTGTTGAAATGCGTTTAAAACTCTAGGTTTTAGGTCTTGAGAAGAATAAAACTTGAAGCTAATTGAATTGCTTTATTTATGTGATAACAGATAAAAGCTGTGGGTTTTTTTTTTTTATTACAAGGGCTTGTCCACTCTAGAAACTGTAATAGCTCAGCTGAGACCAGCAAAACCACTTGATTTATTTCTCTCCTGAAATCGCAGCTGTTCTCAGTCATCACACCTTTCTCAGTCTCAACTAAACCTTCTTGGGCATGAAGGAGCTAAACCTTCCTTGATGAAGATAACAATTGTTTAGTTAGGTCAGATACACAGTTCGCCAATCTCCCACCCAGTTAGGTTTCAGAGAAGATCTAACAGAAAAGACCAACTAGACATAGATTTTAAAAATTCATGTCCTGGTACTAACCCATTAGGCATTGAATATGTCCTCCAAAATGCTTGTCATCATTTGCTGATCCGTATCACTGTTTTAATAAAGCACATTTTCCCTCCTTAGTGGACCTCTATGGAGCATATATCCCATACCCACATAGATACATTAGTGCTATATCCCCTTCAGCGCCCCCCTCAGAGAACCTCCAAAATAAGATGAAGTGACATATTTCCTCTTGACTATAAACTGCATTGAACATACTTCAGATCTTCCCTTTGGTCAAGGACAGGGAAGCTTCCTGTCCTGTCCCAGAACATTTCCTCCCTTTAGCCTGAAGCCTTTTTTCTTCTGAGGTGGGAAGATGGCCTCTTCTAATGTAGAGTGTTGCTTGGGGCTATATGCATGCTGTCTCTGGGTACACCACCTCAGGAAGGTTTAGCATTAGGTAGATTTTCTTCACCTAAACCACAGAGGGTGATTCCAGTACCTGCCTCCTGCAGAAGTAGCACCTGCTTCTTCTTAGGCCCCCAGATCACTACTCAGTATCTTCACACATTTAAAAGGAGATAATAATGTCATAATGTGCATATACAATGAAAACTATTTTTTTGCAAAGCCAGATTGTCATATCATATCATGATACTGTTTTACCACACACAAAAAAGAGGGAGAACACCCTGGTGAGTAGGTTGATGTCACTCCAGAGATGCTCCTAGGAAAAGGGTCAGGTGGAAATGTTTAACTTGGAGGGACATGCTGGTATTTGGAAACAGGAATTATACCAGAAAGCTTTGGAATGTTTTGGAAGTAGGTTTAGAAACAGGTAGGCTCTTGTTTATTTTAATCCAAAAGCTTTAGTTTTTGAATAACCAAAGAGACATTGTCAAATAGACTGACCATCTAACGGAGACAGGCTTCTGGTCATGCTGTACTTAGTCAAACAATAAAGACGAAGTGGTGACCCGAACCTTTAATCTCAGTACGAACCATAGTTGCTGGAGCTGATGCTCAGGTTGGACTGTGACTTACACACACACACACACACACACACACACACACACACACACTTTTTTTTACTTGGTGTGATTTTTTTTTCCAGTGCAGGAGATTATAAGGCAAGTGCTTTACCACATTACAGCCCAGTTTGTTATTTTAGGAAGAATTCTAAAACCTAAGGGAACAATCTCTCCCGAATGTTTGGAAACAGTCTTTTGACCTATCAACCCAGAGATTCTGAGGGCTGAGAACTTGGAAATGCAGCGGAATGGTGAGGAGCCATGCTGGTGGATTCAGGTTATTGTGGTACCATCCAGCCAATGGCCTCTTATCTACAGGGTTAAAAAAAGAAAGCCGGTAATACTATTAAAAGTAACGATGACCCTGAGAATTGCAAAATATTTGTGATGCATCATCCAATCATTGCTCGATCTTGAAGAGCGAACCAGACAACAGAGTCTCATTGATAAAAAATGCACAGCCCCCAGCCAAGGAGTGTTGTAATTTATCTTCAGTTAGAAATGAAGGAATGTGATGATCTCGCCTGGCAGTGGCTTATCCGCACGGAAAGCGAGTTCTAGATATGTGCTTGGAGGACTTCTAAGACATAGGCGAGAACCAGGCTCGGTAGTGGCTGGCAGGGCTTTACAGTGAATCAGCAGATCTATATTTAAATCTTAGGATTTCATGTCCCAGACTTGAAACAACAAGTGCTAGTTAATGAAAAATAAGCTGGAATAAGGAAATCTGTAGTTCTGAAGATCCCAAGAGGACAATAAAAAGAACTTGCTTGCCTACCAATAGCACTTTGTTTTTTTAAACATCCACACATGTAATTTCATTTAATCCTCACAACAACCCTGCAAGGTGAGTGTTAACAGGCCCATTGTACAGCCGAGAAACAGAGGTTTTAAGTATTTTTAGGTATCTTTCTGGAAGTCATACATTGAATGAAAGAACCCAGACAAGGCTAGACCTCTTCTCTTTCTGTTTCCCATTTCCCCATATCTCTGCATCCTTTTGGTTCTGAACCCATTGTGTGGACTGGAAACAGGAAGAAAGCTGCTTTAAATCAAACCTGTTGTGAGCATCTTATGTCTGGAGTTACTCTAGGAGACTTTTTACAAGCTGTGTATCTGGAGTCACTGTGTAGGTATGTAATGTTAACATCTGGCATAGAACAGGATACCTTTTGATGCTGGTTAATGTACGTTTAAAATATCCAAGAGAATGTCTGTAGACACCTTCTCTTCTGTGCTTCTGTAAAGTGTGGCACCCCTTATACAAATTACTGGCCTCTCCAAGACATTGTCAAACCTTTAGCCTCTTACTAAGCATGATTTTCAGAGCCAATGGGATACCAGGACTGCAGGAAGTACTGCCAGGTACCAAGTTACCTCCTTTTCATTTTCAACCAAAACCTCCTCTACCTCTTGCTACATTTTGTGTTGTACAAATTGACAGTGACACCGGGTCTTTTTAAATCACGAATTCACTTTGTTGAGAAACAGTACACATCACATGACTTAAACCAATCAAGCCTCACTTAGGTCAGAAATAAAAATACAATAAAAAAAAAACATCAACGACAAAATATAAAGTCAGTATGGTTATGAACCAGGCCTACACATTTCAGTGTAGCACATTTTCATTAATAGTCTATGCAAATATAATTCCACTTTTGGTCACAGCGGTGAGGAAAACAGCTAGAAACAACATATGTGTTGAGCTGATTTGTGGCCATCTCACATAAACCCATCTGCTCTTATGAGCTCTAGCTGGGTTTAGATAAATGGACCAAAAAGCCCCCTTCCCCACCCCCTGCCCCAAGAGTCGGGGCTGCCAGGCTTTGCGGCTCAGGTGGCAACAGGGATGAATTTGATGGACTTGGACGATTTAGGTGAGTCCTTCCACATCCCTGTGCTGTTTGTGGGGCTTCGGTTGTTGGAGTAAGAAGTCTGCCTCCTGCTCATGCTGTCCGAGTCGTCCTTGGTGAATTTCTGCACCACGCTTTGGCAGCATGGAAAGCTTTGGACACAGTCTTGCAGGAGATGGCCGCTAAAAAACATGTATATCCAGGGGTTGCAGCAGCTGTTCAAGGATGCTAGTAACGCCGTGATGGTGATGGAGGGGTTTTCTGAATCTGTGGGGGAAATTGTGGGGAGAGATCGTTTAATAAACAGCCAAAGCAAAACCACTGCACTGAATTAATCTATTTTTCCTCCTGACCAATGAGTTAAAAAGTTGCATGTTAGTATAGAAACGAACATTTTATTTGTTAGGGAGACAGCTGTTGCTTCAGAGAAATGAGTGCTTTTTGAAGGTTGGTTGTAAAAGGAAATATCTAAAAATTAGTGCAAATAGTTTAAACCAGACACTGTTAGAGCAGTTAGATATAATGGATAGGAATTCTAAGGAGGTGAAGTTATTGAATAGTTTATTTAAAAAACTGTACATTGGTAGGAGCCTTTGTGAACAGATAAGGTGTTTACAGAATGGAAATCTGAAGTGTTTATAACCACATATACCAAATTATACTCATTCTAATAACTTGGGCACAGTATGCCATACGGGCTGTCTTTAGCAGAAGTGAACAAAAACTCCAGGGAAGAGGGTAGTGAAAAGAGATCTCTAAAGAAGCTAGCTTTAGTTGTTTAGTAGTTTGTTTGGGAATCATTAGACATTTGGCTTGATTTTAAAAGACCATCTTTGATTGTAGTTCAAACAAATTATAATGAGAAAAACATCTGGGTTCTGTGTGACCCTGTTCCAAATAAATAATAAAAACAAAACAACATAATTAAAGCAGACATCAACAAAACCCCTAGTAGCTGAATGGGAGAGTCAAACAAGATTTTGAAATATTCTGTGAGGTACCCCTAGAGAACTACATGGCTACCACAACTTTTCAAAGTAAAACGATTGCACTGATGATAATAATAAACAAAAAAAAAAAAGGAAGAACCACCAAACACCAAATTTCTCCTGATTACTATACAGACTTGGATCGTTTCACTTTCGTCATGGCAAAATAAATTGTAGACCAGTGGTTCTCAACCTGTGGGTCCCTTTGGGCTTTGAACGACCCCTTCACAGGGGTCACCTAAGACCATCCTGTGTATCAGACATTTACATTACAATTCACAACAGTATCGAAATTACAGTTACAAAGTAGCAATGAGAATAATTTTATGGGTGGGGGTCACCACACCATGAGGAACTGTAGTCAAGGGTCGCAGCGTTAGGACGGCTGAGAACCGCTGCTCTAGACCACTGATTTGTGCTAAGTACTGCACAGGTGACCGTAGCCATGCATGGCATTTTAAAAAAAAATATAGACATTCTCAATATGTATAGCACAAGTAAGAATTTTAGTAATTATGTCCAAATTTCAATAAGCAATAGAATTTTTCAATTGGATTGACACTCTTAGAGGCTTCTCGGAGGGGAAAGGTAAACAAAAAAGACTTCCATGTATTCCTCATTGTTGGCAACGTAGCCTACAAACGTAGTTATTTAAATGACATCTGTGAACGTTAAAAACAATACTCATAAAATACGTTGTATGTATTTCATGCCTCAATCCTAAAATTGGAAAAAGATACGGCTTCTCCCCAATTTTCTATCCTGACTAGACTTTTCATCAGGAGCACTTCTGTAACACACTTGGTTTGGAAATTTTTTTTTCTTATTAAAGGAAGATATATTACAAAACACAAAATTAAATAATAGCCTCCTGGGAAATGGGTTTTTCTAGCTTGTAAAGGAAACTAAAATGAAACTAGCCAGTGGGGGGTGAGAAATTTCCACAGTAAACTACAGAGCTATTTGTGCGGTGTGAATAGTTCTGTTATCAAATTTGTGCTGAAAGACTAGTGAATGAGTCCCCTGAATTTAGATGATCAATGCTCCTGCTGAGGGGTGCCTGGAAAAGAAAGTTGTTATGGTTAGAAAAGAAATGAAAATATTATAATGAGGAAGGAGGCATGAACTAAAAGCCAGTTTAGACTTCTTGAATCCTTTCCTAGCCTTTCCCAGAAAAGTGTGTCCATCTCTACCCTTGACCTGGGCAGAATTTCATCAGGAGTTTTCTGTTAATTAAGATAGATTCCAAAATCCACCCCCCCCCCAAAGCCACCCTGACACTTCCTGAGCCTCGAAGGGCTTGAAGGCAGGGTATCCAAGAAGTTTAAGTAATTTGTCACTATTGTTTTGCAACTAGTGAGTGACTCTAGGCACAGTGTGTGGCCTTAGGATGGTCATACATGCTGACACCTGGGCCCTACTGTACTTGGGGTAGGGGAGGGGACACCCAAGAATTTGCATTTTTGCCTATCTCCCCCTCCCTATCCCTTGTAATGTGGACATGGAAGACATCCTACTTTTATGCATGTAGAAGCTTAGTTATTGAGCAGATACTATGAAATATCTCTCTCTCTCTCTCTCTCTCTCTCTCTCTCTCTCTCTCTCTCTCTC